TTTCACGTTGCTTCTTAGAAACATTTTTACATAGTTCTATTAAAGAAAACCCGAGTAAGCTCATCTTTAACTTGTTAACATTGTGCCAGATTTTGGATTGTGCGCTTGGACATGATGATTCATCAATTTTTAGGCGTGCTCAGTTGAAGACACTCATTTCTATTCATAACAAAGAGGTACATTAATTTCACAAAAAAAAAAAAAACTTAAGACTATTGCCCCTTTAAAAATTTATTTGTTATAATTACTAATTTTATCAACATATATGATGACTGATATTGTGTTCTCCTGTGGTGCTAACATTTTAGGCTGGTAATGGCGGAGAGCTCTCCAATGTTGAAACAACAATAATAAGTGGTGCTCTTGATATGACAGAGAAGGTATGTTATAACATTTTTTTTTTAAATGATAAAAAATAATAATAAAATAAATTAAGAATCCTTTTTCCATATCTGAAGTAATGGTTAATGAATTTTTGGACTTATTTATGAAATTTCATATGTAAATTAGTTTTATCGAAGAAGTGTATTGTTGACGCTAGTTAATTTGTACATTTTTACACTCTTTGAATATTCACTTTTAGTAGTTAATAAACTGATTGCTACAGTGTCAATTCTGTATTAGATTTCTTTATAGCATCAAATTTGTCTTACATTTGTACTCATTTATTAGTGCTTCTGTTCATGGATGTTTTTTGTTATTTTATATCATCTCTTATGAATATCTGCCTTAAATATCTTTTTTCTAATGCACAGACTGCTCAGAAAGCAATGACACCGATTGAATCAACATTCTCATTAGATGTCGATTCAAAGTTGGACTGCTGAGTGTCGAATCTTGTGCTATATTTTTACTATTTTAGTGTTTTGTAAGAATAGTTCGATGTTGAAGTCCTACGTTATGATGCTCAAGCTTTTGCATTTCATATCTTGTTGGAAACCTTTATAATCCGAAGTCTCGTAATATATTGATTGTTTATGTAAATTATGGTTATTTTTATCCTGTTGGAGCTTGATATTTTAGTGAGTGTTATCTCGTACTAGCATGAAACTTGATTTGGTGATCTATTTTTATTTAATTAATTTATGTGCTCTAAATATCTATTTACACTTGTATATGTGATTAATATTTCATCACATTCAATGCAATATGCTTTTTTATTACAATATTTTTTTTTCAATTGATTGAGTGAATTTTTAAGCCTAGATTTCTATGCACTATTTCTAGTAAATAACTATTAAATTATCATTTGAAAAGTTTTCCTTGTGCTTTTAAATTTCATCCAAGTAATGAGATTCTCTAAATTAAAAATTTGTCATTTATGAATTTAAATGTAAGTATGATTTTTCTTCATTGTAGATCTGCATTAACAAATTCTAGACTCTAAGACATCTTTCGTTGTTCTTTTACAGGGAAGCCTTTAGCAAAATCATAGTTCGGGGCCACAGCAGAATCCCTATTTATTCAGGAAACCCAAGGAACATTATTGGTTTTCTACTGGTTGGTGCCAATTGTCTTTGAGCTAGACTTCTATTTATTGTTTTGTTCAGCAAAAAATTTGCATGTGGTATATTTTTTGAGGTTCTTTAACCTGGTAAGTTTCTTCTGCAGGCGAAAAATCTTCTCGTTGTTCGTGCTGAGACAGAGACGCCAGTTAATGTTGTTTCTATAAGAAGAATTCTCAGGTTTCTCAAATTTACTTTTTTTTTTTCATTTTTTATGATATTTATCATAAATTTTCTTATGCCTAAAATTTTTTTCAGGGTCTCAGCAGATATGCCTCTATATGATATATTAAATGAGTTTCAGAAGGGAAGGAGACATATAGCTGTTGTTGTCAAGACTAAAGTGAAAACAAAGAGTCTTCCACCCATTGCTGAGAACAAGTCTGAAGAAAATAAAAAAGCTTCTGACGAATCGAACTTGACAACTCCTTTCCTATCAAAAGAGGACGACACTTTTGTGGTGGACATAGATAAGGGTCCAGAAAAACAAGCTAAAGGTAATAACCCCACTTTAGGTCTTACATCAGAGGATATTGAAGATGGAGAGGTTATCGGCATCATCACTCTTGAGGATGTGTTTGAAGAACTCCTTCAGGTACATGCAACTCATTTCTTTTATTGTTTCAAAAGTTATGAGTCGTTTGGTAAGTCTATGATGCATTTCCATCCTTTTTTTTATTATGTCTAGCAAGTGCCTTTATTAAACCCGATCTTTCAAACTTCCATGAGTTGGTATGATTTTTGCACTTGTTCGATATTTTTTGTGGTCCCGCCTTGCATAAATGAGTATTGCAATTTTTTCGACTATATTTGGATTGTCAATACTTGTAATATTCAGGGTTTTGTTGCATTCTTGCTTGTGTTCGATATAGTTTCCTTGGAGAAGAATCTATATTAAATGTGAGTTATTTATTTTTATTACGCTGATCACGGGTGTATTTGCTGTGTAGGATGAGATTGTGGATGAAACTGATGAATATGTTGACGTTCACAAAAGGTAATTGCATTTTTTTTTTTTTTTAAGCTCCATTCATCACAAATGGTAAATAATTTAAAAAGGAAAGATGTTGTAAGCTTAATGTTTTTGTTTGCAGGATACGTGTGGCTGCTGTTGCGGCCGCATCTTCAGTTGCACGAGCTCATCAATTAGGAAGTTAACTAAATAAAAAATAGCAGTAAGTAATATCTCATATTTTACCTTTAATGAGAGGGATTTTGCTAATGAATAGGTACTAGTTACAAATTTTTAAATGTTGCTCTAGTTTTGCAATGAGAATTAAAATAATAAAAACATGTTATGTTTCTATTATAGAGATTGATTTATTGAATTAATTTTTTCTTTTAATTCACTTAAAGTGTGATTAGATTATTAGTACATCTAATGCATCTTGACAAATGCATGCTTTTAGGAAACTTATTTTTCTTTTAAAACTCTTGAAGGACTTGGTACTAAAAATGTTGTGATCTTATTGGTCATTCCTATTTGCAGGCTATTGATGATTCTACATAATGATAGAGCTTTTCTTGATATGGTGATGTGGGACAAAAGTCACAAAACCAAATGGAGAGAAGTTGAGGCCGGCCACATGAGGAGACATTAAGGACATTTACATAAATGCAACCAAATTGTTTTGTATTTACATTTTAACATCAGCAGCCTAGTGGTGGGCTTTTTGAACATACCACCCAATTCTTGTATATATACATATCTAGCACCAAAATTTTATTTTTTGTAAAATATGATATGTATTTAGACCCATGCCACCCAATTCTTATGTATTTACATATCAAACATCTAATTTTTCTTTTTTACAATTTAATAAACAAAACTTTTTACAACATTTGATTTACTTCTATATATTATTTATTTATTACAAAATTAATTCAAGCCAAAGAGAGTCGAACATGATTGAAGAAAAATTTATTCTTGATTGGCTCATTTATAAATTGAGCTCAAAGAATATGTTCGTTTACGACTCTTTTGTTTATCGAATGAATCAAACACAAATTATTTAACAAGTTGAACATGAGTTGTTCGTGAACCACGAGTTTTTTTGACACCCATAACAATAAGGAGATTAATGGATCAGTAATAAACAAAACAAAAAAAAAACTAAATTTTAACTTGTTGTGTACTCTCTCTCTCTCTCTTTCTTTCTCATGCTACCCTAAAATTTACTTTCTTTCTCGTTCAATATCGAGAATAAATAAAGGCTCCGCATAAGAGAAAAAAGAACAACAAAGAATCTCTGAACAAAGAATCTCCCCATTAATTAATTCTACCTAAGCTTCAGAGCCGAAGAACGAAGTATATATATCAATATATGGGAGGATCGGTGGAAGACGAAGACTTTAGTTTATTTATTAGAAATGTCATCATATATTTAACTATGGGTTGATTTGGAACTCATCAGATGGATGCTAGGCTTTATTGTTTAAAACATCCTCTTAAATATAATATTTACAAAACAAATAATAAATACTCATATATGATCATATTATATATATTTATCTACCGGTAATGCTTAAATTGCACTAATTCTTAAATTTGTATGAATATCCATGTAATTATTTTTTAGGATTCTTATGTATTTATGCATCGATTACATAAACTTTGATGTTTAATTTATAACTACATATACTACTTTGGTGTCAAATTTATGCATGAAATGTTATATTTCACTTTTAAGGTGTTGGTAATAATACTTTTTATATTTTGTTATATTTTTAGGTTTGGGTATAATGCAAGTAAAAAAAAATTATGTACTAGATATCTAAATACATAAGATCTGAGTTATACATTCCACTTTAAACTATACTTGAAAGGATATGATGTATTTAACTATTAAAAATTTTAAAAATTACATTTCTGACATGTTATTTCGTGTAGTAGATGTAAATAAAATTTAAGTATTAGATATGTAAATTTATAGAAATTTGATGTATATAGCCATTGTTAAGAATATATAAAATGAAAGATTAAATAATAAGACATTAGATATATTTAACATAAAGAGATCATAAAATATAATCTTTGATATAAATTGATTATAAGATTATTCTGATGAATATTAAGTCAGGATATTCAGATCTATATTACAAGTTGTTGGTTGATTGACATTATGTGATTCACTCATAAATTTAGAAGTTACGATCACACTTTATTTTAAAACATTATTACATGTATATCTAGCAAAAACTTGATCCTTTTATTTTAGTTTTTTGTTGATGTTGAGCTTTGTTTGGTAGATAGATCTTACTACATTTTATATTAATATTTTGCTAATATTATTGTAAGTTTTCTAATTTACATATTTCATTATCATTCAACCAACTACAATATTGGAAATATAAATTAAATCTTGATAATGATATGAATTCTTTAATATGTAAGTGTTTTATTTTTATTTTTTTTTATCTACAATAATACAACTATTTGGAGTAATACTTATAAAAATTTTGCATTTATCCACTAAGATAAACTTATAGCTTGTGTATGATCATTGCTTACAGCCAACTGCACCTCTTCTGATTAATTAATTTGATAAGAAGCTCTCATAAATTAAATCAAATTTGAAACGTTTAAGTTACAGAACAGGCAAAGCAAGTTTTTACAACAATTAGAAGAACTTTCTTCTGAATAAAACAACTAACCTTTTGCTCTTCGGATCATTGAACTGCCTTCTTATCCTTTACCTGCGGCTCTGAAAAAAATGCGCAGAAGTTTAGCCAACTAGCAGAGGAATTACAACAAATAGGTGAAAGGCAAAAGTGGTACTTGAAATCAGAGCCTTGGGACGTGTCTTGAAGATAATTCGATCACGAATTATTCCGATAACTTCCAATTCTACCCCCGAAGGATCAGCATAATCCGACTCGCACGCAGCTTCAACCTTCTTCTTCCTAAGCACTAGCAAAGGCTTCTTGAGAGCCACTTTCGTTCCCGAAAGCTCGTGGTAGCCGACTGTAAATGTGTAGTTTCCCTGTAGAGATGATCGGAGATAATCAGAAAATGATGAAGTCATCGAAATAGGATTGGGAAGGAAGAGAGAGAGAGTACTTTGGAGACGCAGCAGAGGCGACCGATCTCGAGATTTTGGAGATTTTCACCGATGGATGGATGTGATTCCACCACACCCTGTAGCTCTATGATAGCCCATTCCCGGCATTCTTCCGCCCCGCAGCTGCACTTCAAGCGGATCTGCATCCTGCTACTATTTCAGCGACGGAGATTGAAGAGCAGCATAGAAGAAATGGCTTTTGCCAAGTTTTGAAGGCGGGAAAATTTTAGTGCTTTGCCGCCAAATTTAAACTTCGATTTTCATTTTTGTACATTTTTTTTCTAGGCGAATAATTTTAAGGTCATTTAGATGATAAAATATTACATCCGGACGTCACATGACACATCCGGATGACTAGCGGCCACGTTGTCATACATGTTATTGCGGGCGATATTGCCGTCAGTGATTGATCTTCTGGACGTTGCGAGCGATATTGTCGTCAGTGATTAGTCTACTTGACGTACAAACACCCGGACGGAATATTATTTCCATTTAGATTCATACCACTTAATTCTTATATTTTTACATATCTAACACATGATTTTTATTTATTACATTTATAGGAATTAAATCTTTCATTTTAGATTAGAAATATCACTATTTTAATTTTTTAAGTTATGAAACTTTTTTTTCGTGCAAAAATTATATCACACGTGCACTTGAGGGGAACTATCTTATGCTGCCCTAGGGTCATTGCCTGTCTCTTCAATTTTAATTTTTCTCTCAATAAAAATTTTTTTTTTCTTAAAATTTGCTCAGTCTTAATTTTAAACTTTGCGAATTTTCAATGAAAAAAGTCAAACTTAATTAGGTTTTTTTAATAGATTTATTAAGTAATTGAATTAAAATTTTATAATTTTTAAATATGTAAATACAGAGGAATTGTCATGTGTTGTCCGACGGACTGTTAGGGATATCGTAACTTCAAAATGAGAGAAATATTGAGTTCGATGGCCAATTGACTAGCGCTGGGCTGGAGCCACTTCAACTTGTATGTTGAACTGTCCTCTGACAGTTAGTCATAAATTTGACACAATATTTTGTCTCAAAATGAAGACACGACAACTGCCAAAGACGAGTTGGGGGAGAAACTATTTGGTCCGAACACCGCATGTCTGGATGACTATTTGCTGGTCACCATGTCATCATACATCTCATCGACAAATAACATGACAGTCGGTAATTGACTGTCCGAATGGAATATTTTTTATAGTTAGTGACATAGAAAATTATTACTTATGTAAATTAAAAAAAAATAAAAATTACAACCCCCATTAAATATATGTACTTAAGCCTAGCTAATATTTGCTGCCACCACACCCCATTTAACTATTTATATCAATTGTACAAAATCAATTTCCCTCATTATAAAATGTCAGCTCTTCTATCTCCCCGACTTCTCCCCACTATAAATAAGTGATCGCATTGTGATCTGACCAGAAGCGACTGACCAAATTCATCAAATCAAGTTAATGATAAAAGAGCTAGTACAAATTACATTGGTCGTGTAAATAAATTTACTAAATTTATATTTAAATCATAAAAGAGTCGGAGCAGGAGAAAAAAAAAAGAATACGAAGAAAATTTTATTTAATATAACGTAAAATTTAATTTATATGTTTTTTTTAGGTGAATTTAATTTAAGTGGTGTTAAATCCTACCAATCATATGCTACAAACACCGACTTAAATTTCTAATTTAGTTTTGAGAGGAAAAAAACAACAGAAATAAGTGGTAAAGTAAAAATCATAAAAGAAGAAAAAGAGTGCATTAAATTTCTATTAAATTTTATTGCATTTATTGTCAAAGCGGCAAAAATAATCCTAACAAACAATCAGCAGAGAAAAATCACTAAAAATGCACTTAAATGAACACCAAACTTCTATCCTTTGGTTCCTTTCCAAATACTTTTGCCCCATTACCTTTTGAATCATCGCAAGGAGGCGGAAGATTAAGAACCAGATAAAATCTGTTGGAATTCTCATCTTTCTTCGTCAGCCCCAGTGCAATTGATTGGCGGTGCTTCCGCATATTGACAGCGACTTTATATATACTTAAAAATATAAGTAATTAATATTGCTGCTAAAAGATTTAATTCTTCAGCAATTGTACCAAAACTTAATAACATTTATAAATTCGATAAATATGGATGTATAAAATATTCAATAATTGTAAAATCACATTTATTAACGCAAGTATATGTATCGCTCAAGTAATATAGGGCTCTAATGGAGTCCTAGATATCGATCCCACAATGAGTAACATTAGAACTACGAACTAAGACTTTAGAAAAGCAATACTTTAATCACAACAATGAAATTTAATTTGCTTATCTGTCACTAATAAGTAATTGAAATAAATATGTAATTTTAATAACTATTAAATAACTAAATATACTAATGAATGTTCAAATGTGATATTCAATATATAAAAAAACATTCTTCTAATGGATGGATGGATGGATGGATGGATGGATGGAGGGG